GCCAGATCATGAACTTTTTATCACCCAGTGGGCCGGCAAGCCATATTCAAAGACCTCACAGGAAGCGGTATCACATCACCCCTCCCAAACGAAAGTACAGTGTTTACTTTCGTTTCTTGTCGCAGCACCTCGGGCCTCAGAAAGCAGCTTGGAGGGCTGCATGGCGGCCCGCAGGCTGTATGTTGGACAAGCCTGTACTAGGAGGTCAAGAGGGTAAAATTGTTATGAGGTGCCCCCTAGCACCTTTACTGGTAATAGCATATTAACCCATTATGAGTCTTAAACACCTTACGTAACGTGAATGTAACATTATTTGTTGTGGTACATTGCGAGAGTGAAATAAACGGAGGGAATATCTTTAGCTAGAGAAACCTGATAACGTGTACAAATGCACCCTGTGGCTAGCTAGTTTTAAGCCTTCATTCATTCTTTGGCTTGCCTGACAACACTGCATACAAGATTACTAATTATGCTAGTTATGGTTTGGGTTAGAGATGTTAAAACTTTCTTTGGTTTAATTGAAAAAAATAATTTGAATTATTTTCAATTCTTGAGGGGTGATATTTTTACCAAAATCATTATTAAAAAGTCTTTGTTACTAAAAAGCATGTTTTCTTACACAAACCAGAAAAATTGAAAGCTTAGAAGCAATTTTAACAATAATTTTATTTAAAAAAAGGGAAAATACAGGATGTTAGAGGGGAAAAGGTCCTTTTTAATACCTGAGAAACAGAACCCATTTAAAAAATGATACACAAAGTCATTTTCCTACTTTCAGCCCCTTCTAGTGTGGACACCTACCAAGAGAGAGCAGAGAGAAGCCACCTATAGTCTAATTTTCAAAGCTTACACTTAAGCCAACTGTGGATGTTCAATACTTTTATTGAATAGTGTAGTGAAAGCTATTGTTTTTAGTGTTGATTCTGTAAAATAAAGCACTTTAGGCCACATCCAGATGATGCACCACATACAGCACATTCAGCTGTTCTTCACGCTGCAAGGGAACAGCGCAGGGGGTGGTTTTGACCCCTGGGTACCCTGGACCTCTGGACATCTGCCAGCCTGCAAGGGAAAAGCCACAGCTTCTCACATTTTTCTCCTTTAAAGGAGAACCTATTTTTTAAATTTGTTGATCCTTTTTTAAAGTTTGTTCACGACCCTTTCATATATTCTTGCAACCCACTTTTGGGTCATGACCCACGGGTGGAGAACACTGCTTTAAGAGTTCTGTTTTGGAAGGAAAAAAAGTTATACGTTTGAACATATGGTAGTTCAGCAATAGCTGATATAGACACAAGAGGGAGCTCTTGGTCACTAGAAAAAAATATCTTGTTATGTATTCCAGACTTGTGGTTTTCAACAATATATCAAACAATTTCTGTGCATTTATTTATGCATATGATACAATTCAAGATAATTAACTTATTCTCTGATTTCAATTTTACTAGTGAAAATCCAGAGTAAATCAATCCATTAACATCAATCAATGAGTCTGAATCTATCCCAGTGTAATAGAGGACAGGATTTGTCCCAGCCTGTATATGTTAACAGGGAGTGATAAAATCTTGGACACTCAAAAGGATTTAAGCACCTTAAGTGGGAATTGGTGGGAGTTAGACACTTTAATCTAAAATCTAAACCAAAACCCCCATTCAGGCGTTCTCTAAACTAGGAGGTACCTAAAGCCCATAGCCACTTACATTTCCTTATGTTAAAGTTCTTCTGAGGCCTTCTGGACATGGTTAGAAGCACTTCAGTCTTGACAGTATTTGGGTAGCCATGCCAGAGCCCCAGGGGTTCTACAAACTAGGCATTCTCCTCCTGTCCTGCTTGGTAGAGATAATCAGCCAGTGTTCACTGAGACTACTGGATTGGACTTTAAACCAGTGGTTCTCAACCTTTGGTACCTTACGTACCCCTGCCAATTGACATGGCAGAAGTGAAACCAGAAGTCCCACTGTGGCACTTCCAGTTTCACAGCCATGAGCCGAGTCCCACTTTTTCCTCATGGACCATGGCCCAGGGCAAGGCAGCCTGCATGGGGTCTCTCTTCCTATCCCCTGGCACATTAATGCTGGCGAGTGAAAGCCCCGGCGAACTGGACATGGTGGGAGGTGCAGCGGCCGGAACTTCCAGCCTGAGCAGACAAAGATGCCTCCAACCTGGTGGGCAGGGAGGCAGGCCAAACTTAAAATGCAGCACCCATGTACCCCCTACCCGTGTCTCGCGTACCCCCAGGAGTACGCATACCATGGGCTGTGAAACACTGCTTTAAACAAAATCCAGAAGCAATTTTCAGTTTCCTTCAAAACTGAGGTATGGAAGTAAGGAAATACTGGTCCTCTCTAATCATAAACAGTCTAGTGGTTAGAGCATTCATCTCATGGTATGGACGAGGGTTGATAAGCCAGTCAATTGACTGGCCAAATAGTGTCAATTGACAAGTCAATTGACTACATATTTTTGACTGGTCAAAGATTATAGCAATTTTCCAAAAAAACCCCTACTTCTTTGTAGTTTTCTTGACAGAAATATGATTTTTTAAATTGTTTTTTGACACATTTCATAATGGAAAAATTGTACTTTATCTGTGTATTATTTGAACCTATTGGCAAGTTTTGGTAATTTTTGACCAATATTTGACCAGTCAATTGACCAAACTTTATTTGACCGGTCAAATACCCAACCCTAGCACAAGCACAGGTAACACTTAGCCCAGTTTAAATTTGGTTTAAACCTGAAATGGAGAGACATTTAAGCCCAGAAAGCTGGTTTAAGTCTCCTGGAATGGTTCAAAAGTGTACTCGGAAAATGAGGCACTCTTTTGAACCAGTGCACTCTGAACTGGGTAAATGTCATGTATGGGCACCACGACACAGATCTGTTTGGTCCTTCAAGCACTCCACACTGCATTTCTTCTCTGCCCCCACAACTCTGCAGCTGGCCACTAGAGTACATGACTCGAACTCTACTGCCCCTTCCCCACCCATTTTGTTGGCCGGTTTTATCAATGAGTTCCCTTGCACTACTTGTTCAGTAAAAACTATCTTCTAACAAACAGCTGTGTCCTCACTCCATATTTGACTGTAGCTCCTCATCGTGACCCTTCAAACCATGGGAACTCAAAAGGGTGGATCCAAGCACTCTCTTCCCACTTATGGCCACCCCAAGTCAGGCAAGTACATTGCAGATATCAGTCAATTGCAAACTATTGATGTTTAATAAGCTCAGAAAGAAGGAAAGTAGAAAACTGAAAATGTGCTCAGTCACAGGTCACTCATGCCCTGGGACCTCCAAAGCATGGATGCAAGCACTTCCCCCCCAGACACCCACTATGAGGCATTCTGGGCTGGGTGCTCACTCCCCCCCCCACAGCACTTCAGCACCTAAAAGAAGACCACTACATGGAATGACAGGATTTTGAGCATGGGGACACCTCTGACTTGCAACAATTGTGAACTAGTTCCCAATCAGTGAAATCTGGGAACAGTTGCGTTGTTATGCGTGTCTACACCCTCAGATGAGAAAACATGGTTTGAATTCCCTCTCAAGGGGATTCAAACTTTTTCAGGAGTGAGACCAAACCACTGAACTAGTGGTATTCTGGGAAGGAGAAGAAGACAGCTCTCAAAAGGTGCCTCTCCACACGTGCACACATGCGGTTTGCAGTGCCACAAACCCATCTGTGGTGCCTTAAAATGCATGTACTGCACATGCATGCATTTGCTGCACTGCTAATTTGCAGCACGGGTTTTTTGACATGGGGATCTCCTGGTGGCAGCTGCATGCACCACTTGAAACCAGAGCCTGGCTGGCCAGAGCCACACTCCAGCTGTGGGCCGGGCTCTGTGTGCACAGATTGCTACTGCTGCAGCCCCAGGAGGTCCCCAGGACCCCAAGTAAAGCTGCTGGGACCATCCCAGGTGCTGGCCCTAGCCCTCCTTATCCCACTTGGGGCAACTTGCTGTGTACCAGAGCATTCATGCAGGTGTGTTCCCTGGGGACAAGTAGCAGTGGCACAAATTGTGCTGCTGTTATCTGTCCCTCCAGAAACACACATTTCCACTCGTGGGGACATGTCCAAAATGTTTTACCAAGGTTTGCAGACAAGGAAACTGATCTACTGAGAGGTTAAGCAATATGCTCAAAGTCACTCAGTGGATCAGAAAAATAAACACCCGTGGTCCATTGCATCATGTTTTTCATAGCTGTACAATTTGATAGAAACTCATAGGACAGACTTTTCTGATGTTTTGCTTTTTGATGATAAGAAGGGTACACACATTGCTCATTGAAAGCTCTTTTGATTGGGTTGGGGGTTTTTTGCTCCTAATAGACAAATACAGAAGAAAAGGATGTACCCTACAATATTTGAGTTTTGATTTAAACTTTTCCAGAGATTAGGAGTTCTGGATTCAGGGCTTGGTCTCTGCTGTCACAACAAAAGGGGCCAGCTGCCCAAACATTTCGAGCTGCCCCAACATTTTCAGACTTGCTCCCATTCCCACTGACTTGTAGAAATACTTTGCTACTGAGTTCAAGAGAAACTGGATCAGATTCTTAACTTGACCTGAATATTTGCTGGTACCCATGTAATGAACTACCTAATTGTTATTCAGATATTTTCAGTAGTAATAAGGCTGAGCAATAAAAGGATAAATAGGCACAGGTAAAGCTTGCATTTTTGGCCTGATTTTTTATAGGAGTAGTATAGGTTTCCCCTTATAGGCACCCTTGACACAGTGACATATATTTAACCAATCTGGCTGAGGATCTAAGGATAGCAATGAGTTTAAAGAGGCCCAATCCTGATCCTACTGAAGCTAAAAAGTAAAACTATTGATTTGAGTAAAAGCTGGATTGGGGCCTTGGAATGCAGAGCTACTGGCTTTGTATAGCTTCCCTTCCCATAGGGGTGACAAATTCCCATTTGGAGTGGGTATCACTGAGATACATAGATATATATAGTGGTTTGTGATGCAGTAAGCTGCAGCCCATTTAGGGCTTTCAGCCTGCTATATTAGCAGTGACAAAAGGAAGTGAGATCTGACAGAGACTTAACATTTGTTTGTGTACCACTTGTCCTCTGTTCAGCTTGTGACCACCAATAATTAACCATGGATGATATCTATAAGGCAGCAGTAAGTATGTTTTTAAACATAACTTTTGTCTAGGATTGATTTTGAGGTATTATATAGATTTTTTTGTGTGTGATTTTGCTAATCTCCCAAAGGTATAAGAAGACACAGTACTCATTCATGTTTAGTTTTTTTCTACAAATAATTAACAGGAAAATACTTAGGAGAAAATGTTCCTGTAAGTATCCCACTAAAATATTTATAACAAGTCCTCCCCAGGTTCTGTGTTGTGTAATAAAGAGATGAAATTTAAATGTAATCTTACGTTCCTGGCTTTACACAGGACTAGGTGGATTCATTCTTGTGCACCAAAATTCCTCACAAAAAGTTTGTCGCCCTATTATTGATATCCACTCTGAGAAAACATAGTGCCAATTATGCTCACTGTACTTGATAAAAACAGTGGCAGAAACTTCATGAGATGCAATTTTGCCTTATATAGCTGGCCATGTAGTTTATTTTATAAACTCAAAATATTTTTTCTCCCTTTTAATAAATAGAAAAGCTACATTATATTGTGCCTTAAACAACTGATTATATGTAAATTAAATGGTATCTTTGCATTCTGTAATGTATGAATCTCTCTGTCCTGGAATCTTTGCTACCACATTCTGTGCATGACTTTCATGACTATCTGCTTACATATGGGGTTGTAGTTTTTTGATAACTGATTATGACTTTATATTTTTATCACCACCACAATGATAAATGAGTTATGGGTAGATTCTAAAGAAACAGAGATCCTGACTGACATATGACAAAAAAAACAGCTGTTCATCATATTTGCCTAATCTGTGACTTTTTGTCAATATTTAAAATCTGCACTAGCCTGGAACTCTATTCTACAAACTGTGCTTTTGGTGGTTTCAGTGAGCCTGATCAGGTCAGGGTTGTAGAATAAGACAACAGATCTTTAAAGAAAGGAATAAAAAGAGTGACCTAAACACTAAAGAAAATGCATGCCTCTTTATGGCTGTTTAACTCAAGTTCCATAATATTTAGGGACATTAGACATACACTCCAAAATGAAAAGGTAAAATATTTCTTAAGTCAGCAATGCTAAAAATTAGCCAAATGGATCTGTCACTCAGACTGATGGAATGCATTCTGTAGCACAAAGAGTTAGTGTAGGTAAAAAATCCCATACACAAATATTAGCCTCCTTTCATATTGCTTAATGTTGAACACCATATATGGCATAAAATATGAATCCCTGATCTAACTCCATTGACTTCAGTGATCATCTCTCTGCTTTGCCTGTGGCAAGTTAAAGGGCATTTTTGATATTTCAGGTGTTCTGCCTAGTAGTTGTGTGTGAGGGTTGTTCCTGACTGCTTTTAAAAACAGGTTAAAATGAGATTCTAGTTAAATATTTGTTTTTTGTTGTATTGTTGCAAGATGATGGCACATTTTAACAAATAAATATTTAATTGATTCACATCAAATACTTTAAAAGCACCAAGAAATACACTCTAGAGCTGGATCCAGATGTGCAGGCACATGAGGTCGTAGCACTGCAAACCTCTTTATAGTGCCAGAAAACACACGTATTGCATGTTAAACCATTTGCCCCACTGTTAATTTGCAGCGCTGAAGCAAAATTTGTTACTGGGATTTCTTGGTAGCAAGCCCCCCACAAAAAACAAAACAAAACAAAACAAAATGGCTCAAAGCACACCAAAGCACCATGTGCCAGGGACAAACACAGAGACAGGGGAGCAGGCAGCTCCCCTGTCTCCATGTGCCTCAGCATGGGGGCTCCGCTGCAGAGCCCATATGCTGAGGCACATGGATTCCCCATCTAGAGGCACACTGCGCCTCAGCCAGCTGTGGAACAGCTATGTGCAGTGTGCCTCAACACGGGGGAGCAGCCAGCCTAGGGAGCTGCCTGCTCCCCCATCTTAAGGCACACTATGTGTCTACACATGTAGATGCATGCCCAGGACAGCTTACTGTGTAGAGTACTATACTAAACTGCTCCCACATTATTTGCATGTGTAAATGTGCCCAAGGAGACTTTAGTTAAATACTTATTTTTTGTTGTATTGTTGCGAGATGATGGCATATTTTAACAAACAAATATTGAATTGATTTTTATAAAATACAATGCTCCAAGAAAACCCAGAGGGTCACTTGTGCCTACATAAGGTTATACAAATGCAGAGCTATTCTGGTAAAGTTTTCAGACTCAGCTGAACAGTACTAAGATCAATGCCAGGGACAAATGTCCAAATAAGAAACACAAGGATAAATACCACTGTCATTCAGCTTCTGGGAACAATCACAAGGTTTATCTTTATCTCTAGTACCTCAGTCAGTGGGGATTATAAATAACTTGCATACCAAAAGTGTTATGTTACATAGGAGGCAACAGACATTTGTTTACTGGATATAGCTCATGCCTTCCAAGCCTCCAACCAGTGCCAAAACAATGAAGAAGCAGTCTGCAGCTGCTTGCCTTTCATCATGGATGGCAGGGCACAAAGAGTTCAGATTTCATGATGAAATGCTAAAGACGAGTTGTGCTGCTATTGTTATCAGTGTGTGCATCTACACATGTAATTAATTTGAAGCAATAAAGTCTGGAGCGGTTTGAGCCAGAATAAACCACTCCCAGGTACAGCATCTACACGTGCACCCAAGACAGCTGCAATATGAGCTGGGATAGAACAGTTTACATAAGGGCCAGCAGTGCTGTAGCAAGGAGGGGGTGAGCAGGGAAGCATGGTGGGGAGAGGGGTGCCCCTCCAGATCTGTGCATAGAGCAAGGGTGGGCTGCCGCTGTAGGTTTGCCTCAGGTGCAAACTTAGTTGGATTCAGGTAAATATGGTATTTGTCCTCTAAGTAAAAGCATTTTCTCTACCCCTGTTATGGGTTTGGCAGTTTTCAATGAGAAATTCAAAAACTCTTGACACGTGCTAGTACGAACCTCAATATGTTCTCCAGAGAGGATACAATAGCAGGTAATTCTGGATTAAAGGGCTTTGAAAAACTTACTGCCTGTCAGGACCCAGGAATGAAATGTAGAGGGTGTTGAATGTATGGACAATGTCCTCAGAAGGACACAGGACTTACTAATAGAGGAAGCAGCAGGTAATAACTATGGTTTACCATGATATGGAGTGGAGAAATAATTCTAGATTGGTTATAATCTACCCAAAAATGGTAGGTAAAGATCTTAAAAAAGGGATTAGAAATGAATCTGTGTAAACAATGTAGTGATATATGAGGGCTATGGATAGCTACATAGATGCAATATTTGGTGAAGTAATGGAGGAAAGGAGTCAGGAATGCTTCATTAAATTATGTGGAGAATTTAATAGGATCTGTGCGACAGTAACGTCAAGAAGGCACATGCCCAGAGAAGGAAGTAGGTTCAAATAAGAGAAAGTGTGTTAAGATAGTTCAGGAGACTACTATATGAATTGTAGCATGGGTGACTGGTGCCACCTTAGTTGGGGGCGGGCAATCTCACCAACTGCGGGGGGAGTCCCCCTGTGGCTGATCGTGCCAACCAGGAAGCGGCTGCGACACTCCTGGAAGTGGCTGCAGCACTTCATCCGGCAGTCCCACTCCACCGGCACTCACAGGGGGGCACCAGTGCTCCTGCCTGCCCCCCCTGCCCATCGCCTAAGCGGGGAGTGCGGCCTGTCAGGGGGTGTACCAGCGCTCTCAGGGGGTGCATGTGCACCCCCATGCACCCCCTATGTGTCGCCACTGAATTATAGAAATTTCATGGCACTACTGTATGAATTAAATAGAAAGTATATTGGTCTATAAAAGATATCAGATCTACCCGAAGAACTTTGAATGCCAAGGCAGTTCAGGGTACTCCTATATGACCCCAGAATTACTCTACTCAGCCTGCTGGTGTTCCTTATTTATTAAAATGTACTAGCCAATTGCACGTCAAGAATGGTGGCTGGATGCAGGAAGGCCAGGGGGCTGGGACTGAGTGCCACCATCTAACAGCCCATGCTGCCATTGTTCTGCCTCTTGCAGGGAGTGGGGTGGGAGAGCCAAGGTCAGCGCTGCTGTACTCAGCTCCCCCACCCTCTGTCTGGTCCTCAGCATGGCTTCGGAATCATGGCAGCGCTCCCTCACGCTTGGAGCACTCTGATTGGCCAATTGCCCATCAAGAATGATGTGGGGGAGCAGGCAGGGACAGATACCTGCCCCTGTCTGGACCTGCTCCCAGCCCCACCGTAACCTCCAATGCCATGGTATGCCCACTCTTCCCCACCCCCCCGCATCAGGCCCACTCAGGGATGGGAGAAGTGGGCTCGGGGTCGACACAGGGGAGGGGGGTGAGAGAGGAGTGGGCCTGGGCCCAAGGGGGAGTGGAGGCCCGCTCCTTCCCTCCCCTAGCTGCTGCCGCATCGAGCTGGGCTTCTCCCTCGCCCCCCCACTCCATCCCCTGTGTCCCCGCCATCATGGTGGCAGGCTGCCTTCTGTCAAAATGCTTCTTCGTGCTCTGATTGGCTGTTTGTCAGCAAATCAGAGTGCGAATAAAGTGTTACAGACAGACAGACAGGCAGACACAGGCTTTTATAATATTAGAATACTAATAGGACCTCATTGATATTTGCACTTGATATAATAATGGCAGAAATTGGAAATACTTTTCCAGACCAGTACAGCTGAACATGATGCTGTAACATCATGGCAAGCATGCCAGTGATGTCACAACACCTCTGCTTCACCACCAACTCAACATAGGTCCCAGATCTGCAGCATTTGTGGAGTGGACTGAGGGAGCAACAAGGCCAGGTTGGAGACTATTACCTATAGCCTATAACAGGCTGCAGAAAAACTCCAGAGCTACTCTCTGACCTGGCCATTGTTCAGGCACGGACTCTTTTCCTACCTCATAGTTCCAAACACAAAGCTTATTTATTCAACCTGAAATTTGCAGGAGAAAGGAGGGTGAATTTCATAGCAACACATCTTTCTCATTCCAATTTAGTAACGTAGATTCATTTTGTTTCTTTATTTAACACCTTTTACCTACTTTATCTTACCTCCTTCTTGCAGCACACTATACAACCCTGGAGCACCAGTGATTTAAGACTGCAATAGAAAATGGAATGGAATGCCTTCCATTTTCATGATAATCAATGCAATAAAACTCAGGAAACAAATACCTGTTTAACACATTCCCATTATATTTTCAGGTCCCATCCTGACCCCAATTGAAACTGGGCCGTAAGATTCTTTTCAATATGTGTTGAATGTTAGAGAATGGGTCAAAAACATACAAAAGCAAAGAGCAGTCTCTGAATGCTTTATCCAAAAATAGTGAAAAGGAGTTGCAGATGACTCTTTTTAAAGGTCAATCAGTTATTAATGGGCTAGGCCAGGAGTACTCAATGCCCAGCATGCAGGTCATATCTGACCCCCTCTTCTGTGTCATCTGGCATGTGGGTCAATGAGGAGCTTTGCAGGCTATAACCCTATGTGCTAGATTGGGCACACAGCATGACACTGGACCTTATCCCAGCACATGAGGCTGGGTGGTGGCAGCACTGGCCTCTGGGGCCTAATCCCAGTGTATGGGGCTGGATGGGAATAGTATGGAGCCCAGTACTGGTTCATTGGGTCCTATCTGGCCCACAGACCAGCCCCATGCAATTCATCTGACTCATGGAGCCCAAAGGTTGAGTGCCACTGGGCTAGACAGTTTGGTAGGCTTGTGGAATCTAAGGTCAAAATGGACTGTTACAATTATCTAGCCTAACTACCCATGTAACACAGGCTATAGAGCTTCACTTGGTTACTCCTGTGTCTGACAACAATTAGAGGCCAAATGAGAATCTCTTTTAGAAAGACATCCAATTCTGATCTAAAGACTCCCAACAATAGAGAATTAATCATTCCCAATATTCTTTATATATGAAAAATGCATTTCTTAGTTGGGCCTCCTACTGCAAATAGTTAAATGAAGCTTTCTAGTACAGGGGTGTAGGCTTTCTAGTACATGCACTCTAGCAAATAATTTAACTCCAGGAAAATAAAAAATAATATATTTTTAAATGTGAAGAATTACATCATATATTAAAAAGCTACTGTGTCAAAACCACTTACAGTAGTTAAAATACCTTCTACACCTCAAGAAGGGCGGTTGGGAGTTAGTTAATATTTGTAAAGCATTTTTGAACCAGTAGTGTGTTATGTAAATGATGTTAACAATTAGTGATGACTAATAAAATGAATTAGTTTATCTTTTTATTTTAATTACAGGTTGAACAGTTGACAGAAGAACAGAAAAATGGTAGGTGTATCTTTAAACCTGACATAACTGTGGACAAAAGATTATCTCTTCCAGCAAGTCCATTATCAACCTATGGCATTACTTTGTGGCTTCAGCAGCCAACACAGGATCTGCAATTAGCTGCTACAAGTGATAGACAATAGGGCTGCGCGAAACGGCATTGTTCCGTTTTACCTTGAGTTTCGATGGTTCAACGGAGCAGTGTTTCATCTCGAATTTCATTTTGAGTCAAAACAGCTGTTCCGTTCCGTTGAAACAGCAAGGCCATTTTGACGCTGCTTCAAGTTTCGCTGGGGATGGGAAGTCAGACCAGCTGGGCTGACTTCCCATCCCCAGTGCCAGGGGCGAGAGGCAGACTAGCTGGGCTGCTTTTCCATCCCACATGCTAGATTGTGCCAGGGGTGGGAGGCAGCTCAGCTGGACTGCTTCCCTGTCCCCCACACTAGATTGCGCCGGGGGCGGGAGGCAGCCCAGCTAGCACAGGGGACGGTGCAATCTAGCGTGGGGGATGGGAAAGCAGCCCAGCTGGGCTCCCTCCCACCCCGGGCGCAATCTAGCACAGAGGACTGGGAAGCAGCCCAGGTGGTCTGCCTCCTGCTCCAGTGCGATCTAATGCAGAGGACCTGGAAGCCACCCAGCTGTGCTGCTCCCAGCCCCCGGTGTGATCTAGCATGGAAGACTGGAAAGCAGCCCAGCTGGGCTGTCTTCTACCCCCTACCGGATCTTGTGCTGGGGATGGGAAGTCAGCCCAACTGGACTGACTTCCCATCCCCAGCCTATGATCAAAATGTTTCGACTTTCAAAACATTTCAACCAGCCTCGTTTTGTGTCAAGGCTATTTTGAGGGCCTTTGGGTTTTTTCAATTTTGCTGTTTTGACCTCGAAATTGGTCGAAACAGTGTTGAAATGAAACGGCCGGCAAAATTTTGCACAGCCCTAATAGACAACCTTTCAGCAGTCAGACAAAATAAAGTGTAAAGCAAATGAATCTTCATTACAAGGCTTAAGTAAAAGGACTAAAACCAAAAGACTAATTTCTATGATAATATTTCATGCTATTTCATATCTTAATGCTATTTAGGTTACACACAGCATATAATAAATATAGTGGGGATTTTGTCAGGCCTCTGAGTACTCCTGTGTCAAAAATCCTGAAACATAATATGGAAAGGAAGTACTGTACTAGAAATCCTGTGAAAAAGCCTATTCTTGTGACGTATCTGGCTCATATTTTTAAATTGAAGACATATGGGAATTATAGAGTTGGAAAAGTGGAAATTTGGGGTTATGTATACAAACTGAACCATTACACTGTAGCTGTGCTAGATTCCTCAACTGTATCTGACAATGACTGTCAAGAATGTCTTCAAAACTCCTTACTCATCAGCAGGGATTCTGGTTTTCTCTGTTTAAAAATCCCAAATTCTCTGCTTTAAAAAAATCCAAAATTCTCTGATTAAAACCCCCCAAATACATGTTTTTCCATGATTAAAATGAAACCCCTATTTATATAGGTGTCAGTTGAACACAATGTTTTATTCATATGTTTACCATTTTAAAGCAATTTGGATGCCTATCAGTGCCTCAATCATTATAATAAAATAAATTCTGAATATCTATATATTCTGGTGTTTGGTTTTGTTTTTTATCATAGGAAATCAGAGCTCCCCCTGCCCCCTTTGCTCATCAGGAGACAGGTCAAACTGCAGTCATCTCCCCAGTTGCTTTGTGGTGCTGAGCAGCTTTGATATGCAGTTGCCCTTCATTCCCAAGCCACACCCACCCCAGCCCTACCAGTGCCTCTCACTTCCAACCCACAATCTTCTGCTCCCATCTTTACCGCTCAGTCCCAACCCACAGCCCTCTGGCTATGGGACCTGATGGCTGCTGCACCCAGAATAGAGTACAGAGCCCAGGCCCCTGCTCCATGGGTGGCACAGCTGGAGCAGAGCTGAGCAGAGCCCGTGCAGGTTGGGGGAAGACGTGGGCTGCCCACTGTTGGCTCAAGCTCCCCATCTTGCTACCCTCCCCTTGGGAGTCTAGGTCGCCCCGCGGGTAGAACCGGACACAGGAGGGTGAAGTGGGGCAAGGAGGCTTGGTGCCGCTGCTGTTGGGACCCCCATGCCAGCTGTGCCATGGTGGCAAAGCACCCCCTGCCCACCTGGCAGCAGCAGAGGTGGCAGCACAAAGTTGTGCCCCCTGCTGCTGTTGGCGGGCAGAGGGCAAATTACCATGGGGGCGTGGCTGGTGTGCGGGTCCTGGCAGAGGTGGCAGTGGTGGCATTGAGCCTCTCTGCCCCACCCCACTCTCCCAAATCAGGTCCCACTCCCTGGGTTGCAGAGGCCCCTGGAGGGAGGGCAGGAGAGCAGGAAGTCCTGAGCCATAGGTGGCAGAAGTGGGGGACTAATGGGGCTTATCCCCCACGCATAATGTGGGGCAGCAGTAGGGCCGCAAGGCAGCCCAGCCAAGGGCTTCTGGTGCAGCAGGGGTGGGGAGGGAGTGGGGCTGCAGCTGAGGCTGGCGCTAGGGGAGGGGCAGGCACTGCACAGCTAGCAGGGTTCAGGACTGAGCTGCGAGCAGCTTGTCCAGGGGGCGCGGCTCCTGCTGCTACCTGCACCCTGGGAGGCACGGGGGGCATGTGCCCCTGGATCTGCACAGGGTAGGACTGGCTGCCAGTGTGGGCTGGAGCCAGGGCTGCACTGGGCTGGGCTGTTCCTGGTAGGGGGAGAGGCTGGGCTGGAAAAGAGCCCAGTGCAGCTTCCACCCCAGCCCACAGTGGCCCCCTGCCCTGCCATGCTCCACACAGATCCAGGGGCATGTGTCCCCCATGCACTTCTGGGATGTGTACAGCAGTGGGAGCCACCACCCTTTCCCTGCATCCCCTGGAAAGGAACAGTGACTCGGTGCAGGCAGGTGCGAGGATCCTAAGGGCTCCATCCCATCTGGCCCAGCAGTGCAACCAAGGCCCACTCTCCTTCTCATCATGGCCACCTCTATCTGCACCCCCCACATCACCTTTTTTTCCCCCCATCCCCCTCCCCGCATCACCTATGCCCCCTCCCCTCATAAACTTACCTGCAGGCAGCTGGGGGAGCTGTTCTCCACTGCTGCCTAGCCATATTGCTGGCCACGTGCATGTGTGTGTGTGCACCTGGCACCCCCTGGTCCCACTCCCCCCAGCCCCAAACAGCCCTTTGCAGGCTGGAACTCTGCCATCCTGCAAGGGAAAACCTGTAGTTTCCCATGTTTTTCTCGTTTAAAGGAGAAAATCTGACTCTTTCCACAGCAAATGGAAAACCTGGATCCCTGCTTATCAGGACTGACTGTAGTGGGTTAAAATGACTATGGAGCTGAGCTGACCCTGTTGCCACATGCAGGGCAATCACTTTCCTACCAACTTGACATCTATTTACAATCACAGCTCACAGTTAAAAAAGAATCTGTTGACATTCCTTTGAGGTTTGCCTATTACTACAGTAGTGAATATTGATATCCTTAATGCTGACTCCTATCAACAGGGGCTAACACCTTCCTGTCTAATTCCTCTTTCTAGAGTTCAAGGCTGCCTTTGATATCTTTGTCTTGGGCGCAGAGGATGGCTGTATCAGCACAAAGGAACTTGGGAAGGTGATGAGAATGTTGGGGCAGAACCCCACCCCTGAGGAGCTGCAGGAGATGATAGATGAGGTGGATGAAGATGGTAAGCTATTCTCTTAAATCTTCTAGGTGCCAACAGTGCACATCAAAGCATTCACAGTGCCACAACACTGCACAACATTGTGTGACATTCAACCTTGTACTTGAATGACACACTTTGGTAGCTTTTACCTAGTCCTTCTACTTCTAGTTTACAGTAGGTGGATCACTACTAACCAGATTTTTGTTTGCTGAAGGTTTGCATGGACAATAAAGATACTAAGACACATATCATAAGATTAAGAATTTGCCTCAGTCTCACTGCCTATGATTTCATCACCTCCTATTGTCTTGCAGCATACTGCTGGTTTGCTCATCTACCCCAGCACTATCCTGCTATCTCCTCTCTGCCCTCCCCGCCCTCCTGCCTTCCCTTCCCTTCCCTTCCCTTTTATATTTTAATTTCTCTATCCTTCTTATACACTGCTTTCTGCACATTCCACAGCCTCTGATGAAGTGAGCTTCAGCTCACAAAAACTTTGCTACGCATCTACTTTGGTTAGTCTATAAGGTGTAAATCTACCCTGCCTTCTAACATATTGCATACCAGACAGTTGTCACCCTCCCCTGTATTCATGGTGGTGCTTTTCAGAGGCATCATATGTACATATTTCTTATAAGTTGTTCCATGTAGTTGAAATTCTGCACCCTCGTGGAAACTTAATGGATTCTAGTTGGGTACAGGGCTCTGCCTGTATGGTACAACTTGTGGAACAGGGCCCATACTTTATAAAATAGCACAACTGAGATTTTCAAAGAAATCCAAAAATTCTAGGTGCTCACACTTGCTGAATTTCAATGCTTGCTTCAGTGCTGCAGGCTCCTGTGGCAAATCCAGACTAAATGATGAAAGATGCTAAGAATAGTGATTATTATTACTGTAATGAATGCAGCTAGATTTCTCAAACTTATTTTAAGGGACGCAGGTACTCAGAAACTATAGGGGACACAGTAAGGACCTGTACAGACTGGGACACATGGCAAAGATTATAGGTTGAACATTGAAACTTCTATGAGTGCAGATTCCATATGTGCAAATTTTTATCACGAAACAAAATCTTCAGAGCTTAAATATAAATCTATATATACCAGTAACAGCAATTAAATTATTATAGCTATGAACGACTTCAGAATAATAAACCCATGAATGTATGAAGGCTAGAGAGAAACAATAGACCTAAAAAATGAAACAATAATCCATTTCTAAGCTACCAAAAGTTGGTTAAACAACATGAAAAAACCCCTATGAGTTAAGGAAAATTGATGTCGTTTAAACAACCAATATACATTTTTTTACAATATATGTTGTAAAAATATAGGTCATCATTTTCCACTGTCTTGTATCTTATGTTGAAATTTACACCTATGCACGATGAGCATGAAATGTTAACAAATCAGAATTTCTCTTACTGACATATTTGATATGGGGTTTTTTGAGTTTGTAAAGACAAAATGACTACATCACTTGTGAATCTAACATATAATTTCTGTTACTCCATAATCTTTGAGACTGTCATTTGTTCTCAGTGCAACAACCTGGAATTCTACAGCTAAATTACCAATAGGGATTTATCTCTGCCTTGTGCATATGCATGTTCGTTAAAGGAAAAGGACATGACAAATTGTCCTCCAGACTGTAGCATGATCTAACTTCATTTATTCCACTTTTCAGGCAGTGGCACTGTAGACTTCGATGAGTTCTTAGTTATGATGGTCCGATGTATGAAAGATGACAGCAAAGGAAAATCAGAAGAGGAACTCTCAGATCTATTCAGAATGTTTGATAAGTAAGAGGCTTGAGTATAATATACCATATTTACTTGATTCTAAAAGAAGTTTTTTCCCCCCATTTAACATGGGAGCAGGACCAGTTAATCTAGTTAATCTAATTTTTCCTTGTACAGAATCTAATAATTGTGTGTGTGTGTGTGTGTGTGTGTGTGTGTGTGTGAGTCATCTTACAATCAGGGTCATCTTAGATTCAAGTAAATATTATATTAATTAAAAAAAAGCCTACCCTGCAAATAGAAGTGATCTATTATTGAGGTGCCAATAACGACTCCACAGTTAAGGCTGAATTAAGTTTTGCACAGTAGTGAATCCAGGAATGGGGGAAAGTGGGTGTGGCAAGACGGGTATAGCACTTTGGTGGCACCATGCATGTGCATTGCACTCTGAGCTCACTGCCTGGTCACAGTCAGTTCTTGCAGGAGCTCCATGTCAGCAGTGAACTCCAAACTCAGCAGCTGATCAGGGCAGGGTCTGGCTGGATCCCTGCTTTTACTTGGCTCTGCAGCCTAGGAAGTGAACACTGCTACTGTTCACCATTCACCTCTCTCCTCTCCCCCAGCACTATACCTAGACTCCTGGCAGCCCCAGGGAAACTTTTAGTATCACCCCATGTCCCCCTTCACCAGAGATGGTAATAATAATAATAATTATAATAATAATACCATTTTTGGTCCCCTTTTCTGTCTGGGCCCTGGGTGGAAGCCTGGTTCACCCATGCCTTGTGTCCAGCGCTGCTGTCCCCTCCCTACTGAATTCAGCAGCTGGAGAAAGGAAGGGAATGATTGATGGCAGCAGCACTCAAAACCTGGACTCTGAAGCTGTGTGAAAGCCAGGGCTCTGAGCAGACGTTGCAGAGCTCAAATGCAGCACAATCAAAGCGAGGTGCAACTGTGCACCCCCCTTTGGAACTGTCCTGAGTTTTGCACTTAAAGCAAAGAGTCAATTTTTTAATTGCATATAAATAATACAGAATGTCCTCCTAAAATGTAGCATCTTTTTTTTGTCCCAAATGATACTGACAATGAAATAGCGCTGAAATTCATCTTCTAATTCTTTCATAGTTAAGACTAATTGAAATCTTGTGAGCTAGCCAAATTTGAAAAAAGGTGTTAATTATATAAAATTAATGGTTAGTGGATTTAACTGTTAGGACGATGTCCTACAGATTAGGCCAGGTCTAGAGATCAGGCTTTGTCCATCTACACAAAAGAAAATCTTGAATTTAGCTGGAGCAACAAATAGTTTACAAAAAGATTAGTGTTACAAGCCATAATTTTATGTTATTCTTCATAAATGAAAATTTCCCTTTCAACAGAAATTGACACTTAAAATAACTTCAGAGATACTAAAAATTGCCATCTTACAAAATAGATGCAATAGGACTTTTAGAAAATGACTTAAGTACATCCTTAACTGTAGACACACTTGAAGTCCAAGATCTAAATCACTCACCAAAGTTTTTTTTTCTTTTGCAAATATTATGCCTTTATTGATTACCAGAAACAAAAAATTATCATTCTCTTTTAGCATCCCTGATGTAGATTAATCTTAAAAGATGGTTTCCCCAGAAAAGAGAGAGCTAATGTCATCTAATTTATTTATCTTCCTAATTTATGTGGGAAGTACAAGTGAATGGGTTACTAGGGGCAGTTATTTAGAAGTGATATAACATGGGTTTGAATGTCCCATCTATTTCCCCTATATTGAGCTATTCCAACTTTGAGCAATTCTGTTGCACAGAAATGCTGATGGATACATTGACCTTGAAGAGCTAAAGATCATGCTGCAGGCTACAGGTGAGACCATCACTGAAGATGATATAGAGGAGCTGATGAGAGATGGAGACAAAAACAATGATGGCAAGATTGATTATGATGGTAGGTTTCTTAAGTGCATAATTTGGGAATTGCAAGAGATGGAGATCTGAATCCATCTTCAAATTTTCTAAAGTTTAGTTTCACCTCACCTCTAAAATATGAGGGTTGTTAATCCTACATTTTCAAAGCAGCCTTTAGATTTACACTGTAGCACATGGAAACCTAAATTATTTTGCAGGAGAAATACTTTGAATGGTGATATGTCAGATCATTCCCTTACTTTGCATAGATATGGTTTGTCATAATTTACACACACAAATTTACAAATTAACTTAACACACACAAATTTAAATGCTGGGCTAGGACTGTTATTTTCCCCAAAAACATTAAACTAAAACTATTATATTGATTTTGTGAATAAAACACATTTCCCATTAGATTTCACTTTAAATCTGTCTATGCTACTGTCTGCTTTATTGTTTCCGTAAGGCACTATTTATGCCTTAATCCAGAAATTTGCTCTGTGAAATCTGACCTTTGTGTCTATACATAGACCCACTGACCCTAGGTGGGGTTCTGCATGGTACATATATTTAAATACAAGTAACATGCTGCAGGATAAGAGACTCAATCCATAATGATAGATGCACTAATGCAATGGAAAAGCCATGCTCTTAAGTCATCATTGTTTAAAATTAATATTGGACTATTACATATATATGAGAGCTAATCAATATCAGCATTTGAAAAAACAACTATTATGCTATAAATTGATTAAAAAATTAACACTTTTCAAAAAAGATTGCAATTTTTTGCAAAACATTTTTGTCAATTTAAAAAAAAAAATCCTGATCAGCTTCAATGCACAGGTATTTTGTATGAGGATAGAGTTTGAAAATTCACAGAAGTAAATGCTGTTTTTCAAATGTTATCTTGAGGCAAATCTTCAGTTCATATAAGTGGGTGCAAATCTACTGAATTCATGACAGCAATGCTTATTTGCAAACTGAGATCCAGGCCACTATCTTTTGGGACACATCCTCCACTATAAATTTTCCATGAATCTTTCACTACCTGTGCTTGTGCTCAGTTTTACATTTTAGTGGCACATGTCTCAGAAAGAGTAACATATAATCTTCTATTGCTGGTAGAAAACTAGCTGTGATAGGAGGTGTTTATGAATATGAAGAGGAGACAAGAAATAAGGAGAATACAGTTGTCTTAGAAATCGGTAGAAAGAATGCTAATTCAGAGTGACTTTCCAGTTGTCTTTGAATATGCACATGACTTTCATTTTCCTTTCTTTGGCAGAGTTCTTGGAGTTTATGAAGGGAGTTGAATAAATCTGAAACAACAGGATGAACAGCCTTGTCTTTTAAATCCCTCCAATTACTTGTGTCATCAACTTGGTTATGTCCCCTTGGCTGCTAGCATGAAGAATGTGTTGAACAGGGTGGCCTTCTAGAGAATACAGTGTTTTCATATCAAAGTGCCTCAGATGATTGATCCATGAAGATTTAAATAAGAATGCTATAACACAATTGTGTATTAGTTATTAAAGTTCCCTTGTGCAAGTGTCAAGTCTTGATCAATCAAGAGTAGATGAGATAACAAAAATATCATTATATCTGTAAGAAACATTTTGCCTATAGTCTAACTGTAACCTCTCAATTGTAAAAAGCAAACAAATAATTGACTATTACTAAAGCACCACATATTGTCAGATATTGCATGTGACCCCTCTGTGAATTGTTTACTAAAAGGTTGCATGTTTCTTATAGCTGTGCACTGAATTATGCATTTGGAGAAATTCCTGTTCCTGGTGAAGTGAATGTGTCAGTTTTAATGCTACCATGATTTGGTCTTCAGCACTTGTGGGGCTAATCATATTGCATGGAACAATGAATAATGAAATATTAATTTGTGTTTGAACCTTAAGTAGAATGATGATTTGAGACATTTTAACTGTCACTGACAATTCAGATTTTAAGTAGAAAAATGCAATATACAGTCTGTACTCTGCTTCCTCCTCTACCTATCATGACGGATGTCCAGTATTGTGCCAGTCTGCTCTGTGTGCAAAAATAAGATTCCTTTTCAAAATGCTAATAAAAATATTCATAAGCCAGAGTGGATGGTTTGTTATTTGCTGTTTCACAAAAGCCATTTTAGTTACAGTTTTAAAATAATCAAAGGACTATTTTCAGAGGAAATAAGTGAAGTGTGTTGCCAGGTTTTCATGAGAACAACTGGATCAGGGTGAAGGAAGTCTTCATGTTTTTGGAAATAATGCATTCAGAATCTCTATTACTGAAAGTGGAAGTCACTTAAATCATGTCACAAGTATCCACAACACTACTATCATATGGTAAGATATGTTTTGTAAGCTGTCATTATCACATCAGAAGCTCTTCAGGGCTCTTCAGAATTTGTCTTCAATAGAATAAAAAAAAATAGGGAAGGAAGGGACCTCAGGAGTTAATTTAGTCCAACCCCCCTGCTCGAAGCAGGACCATCCCCAATTAGATCATCCCAGGCAGGGCTTTGTCAAGCCAGGCCTTAAAAACCTTCACGGATTGAGATTGTACCACCTCTCTAGGTAACCTGTTCCAGTGCTTCACCACCCTCCTAAGGTTTAATAGTTTAATTTTTTCCCCTTGGCATGATGATTCTGTAAATTTTTGAGGTATTCACACAGTGATTCTCAACATTTTTAGATCCAAGGCACCCCTCAGAAAATTCCAGCTCTTGGTGTTCACTTTTTTTTTTAGGGGTGGAAAGTATGGGAAGAGTTTATTGGTGAAAAGAAAGTAGGAAGGATCCCTGGAAAGAATGAATTTAAGGAAGCATGTGAAGCAGGAAGTTGAGAGTTCTTGGTGAACAGGAGTAGATGAGATAACCAAAAGAAGAGAACAACAGAAGATCCAAAGTTGGCAGGCCCAGATTTTGAAAAGCATTTAAGCCTGTGCAGAAGTTCTGCAGGCTTCAGTAGGACTTAGTCACAAGTACATCTCCAAGTGCATTGCTGAATAGGGGCATAAGTGTGAAGAAGGAGGACAAAAGAGTGGTTTTGGAGGAGCTGAAGGGGAGAATAAGGATCAGGACAGACTAAAAGAAATAATCTGTTCAAGGGTAGGATTACGTAGGGCCTGGCAGGGAGGACAAAGATCTCAAACCTGTGGAACTAACAGAAAAGGATTCTATGAAAGGATTTGTCTTTAATAGTTTCATTTGTATTTTTTCCTGGGATGATGATCATATTCCTTTAATACAGTGGTTCTCAACAGTTTTAGACTAAAGGCACCCCTTGATAGGCTTGAGGCACCCTTCATAAAATGCCAGATCTTAATTTTCACTTTTTATTTCAGGAAAATAAGAGAACAATTTTTCTATTCCAAAGAACTCAGATAACAACAGGTCAAAATGGTTTTAACACTATGAATTCCTATTTGAAAACTCTAGGTTTATCTTGTAAATCATGTTTGTACACTTAACAGTGCTGTCATTGTGTGGCACCCCAAAGCCACAGCACCCTGGTTGGGAATCACTACATTAACTGTTCCATATAAACATATAACACAACTGTCCCACATATAACAGTGCTGTTCTACTCTGTCAATGATGTCCTACGTTCTCACATTGCTTTTATGATGCTACAAATAAAACATTTACCCAGAAAAGCAAACATAAGGCTGAAATGTTTAACAGCCTTAAATATCTGCAGTGTATGCACTCTAGACCATTGGTGTTCAACCTCTGGCCAGCAGCTTGTGAACCCAGTGTGAAAGGCCCATCACTGGAGCATCAGCATGGGTGAATACTGCCACAACTCATCCCCTCCTTTCTCTGCTGCTAAGTTCAGTGACAGGGGAAAAGGTGATGAGCAGCAATGACGTTCCCCCACACTGACATGCTGGTGAGCTCAGATCTTTTCCGCAGCTCCAGAGCTCAGGGCGTAAATACTACCATCATTTGCCACTCTTCCTCCACACCCACTCCAAATTCAGTGGCAGGAGAAAAGAGGGAATGAGCAGTGACACCACTTGAACTCCAAAGCTGTGCAAAAGCTCTGAACATGTCAGCATGAGCTTCATCAGGGCCACCACTTTGGTGCAACTCTGGAGCCCAGGGGATGAACACCAATGCCATTTGCCCCATAAGCCTTTCTGAATTCACCAGCAAGGGGATGAGTGGTGGTGGCTTTCATTTGTGCTGACAGCTGGTCAGCTCAAAGCGTTTGCACAGCTCCAGAGCCTAGGGGGTGAACACTGCTGCTGCCTGTCCCCTCTTTCCCCTGCCACAGAATTTGGGGAGGCGGGGGCAGCAAAAGACAGTGGCTTTCACTCCCTGGGTTCCAGAGCTGTGAGAAAGCTTGGGAAACTGGAAGAAGAAAAGGCAGTGGAGGTCAATCCCTGACATCCTCATGCATGCATGTCTACAGGGCTTTGTTATAGCACAAGGGGTGGCTACAGCACCTGGAAACAAAGAATTATTTCAAATGAAGACTTGTTGCTCTGGAGAAGAGGACAGTCTCACTCCAAGAGAATTTCAAAAGCAGAAGGTACTCCCTTTAGGAGACACTGGTAGGGCACTGGGAAGCAAGGGAAGCTGAGGTAAAGTACAGTGCTGCCAGCTGGGCATTCTCAGAATCCCTCAGCCAGCACTAGAAATCTGGAAGTGGGTCAACTTCCTCCAAGTTAATGTAATCCAATGGCCCATCAACTTCGATCCCTGCTGCTGCCCAAGAAAAGAAACTTTGAAATCCAGGGAAAGCACATCATCCTTTATCTCCCTTTGCACTGCTGTGTAAGATGAAGTTTCTTTTCAACCTGGGAGAATTTTTACAATCTTTGAACTCTCCTCTACATGAAGAAGGCTGTTTGGACCCGAAAGCTTGCAAAGAAAGACATTTTTTGTTACTAGCTTTGTCTAATAAAAGATGTAGCCTCTAGCACAAGAGTTTTGTCTGCTTCTGCTTTTCTAGACCAACACGGCTACAAACTATACCCTTGCAACAAGCGCGCACTGTTGGTACATATTCAGTTTATTGTTCACTATAACCCCAAGGTCCTTTTCTTCAGAGCTGCTGCCCAGCCAGTCAGCCCCCAGCCTGTACTTGTGCATGGGATTGTTCTGTCTTAAGTGCAGGACTTTGCACTTGTCCTTGCTGAACAACATGAGATTTCTTTTGGCCTAATCATCCAATTTGTCTAGGTCACTCTCAATCCTAGCCCTACTCTCCAGCATATCTACTACTCCCCCCAGCTTGGTGATATCTGCAGACTTGCTAAGGGTGAACTTTATGCCATCTTCCAGGTGGCTGATGAAGACACTGAACAAAACTGGCCCCAGGGCCGATCCCTGAGGCACTCCACTAGATACCAGCTGCCAACTAGACATCAAGCCATTCATTACTAACCTCTGAGCTGAGTGCTCCAGCCAGTTTCTATCTATCTTACAGTCCATTCATCCAGCCCATACCTCCTTCACTTGCCTGTGAGAATGTTGGGGGAGTCTATATCAAAAGCCTTGCTAAAATCAAGATATACTACATCCACTGGTCTCTCAGTGTCCACAGAGCCAGTCATCTCATCATAGAAGGCAATCATGTTGGTCAGACATAACTTGCCTTTGGTGAAACCATGTTGACTGTTCCTAATTACCTTTTTCTCCTTCAAGTGCTTACAAATGGATTCCTTGAGGATCTGCTTCATGATTTTTCCAGGGACTGAGGTGAGGCTGACTGGTCTGTAGTTCCCTGGATCCTCCTTTTTCCCTTACTTAAATATGGGCACTATGTTTGCTCTTTTCCAACCATCCAGGACCTCTCCTGATCTCCATGAGTTTTCAAAGATGATGGCCAATGGTTCTGCAATCATATCAGCCAACTCCTTCAAAACCCTTGGGTGCATCTCATCCAGCCCCATGGACTTGTAAATGTCCAGCTTTTCTAAATAGTCCCTAACCTGTTCTTTCACCACTGTTGGGTTGCCCACTTCCTCCCCAAACTGTGCTGCCCGGTGCAATCTGGCAGCTGACCTCGCCTGTGAAGACTGAGGCAAAAAAGGCATTAAGCACTTCAGCTTTTTCCGCATCCTCTATCATGAATTTGCCTCCCCCATTCAGTAGGGGACCCACACTTTCCCTGATCCTCCACTTGCTACTGACATATTTGTAGTTTCTTGTTACCCTTCACATCCCTTGCTAACTGGAACTCCAATTGTGCTTTGGCCTACCAGACTTCATCCCTGCATGCCCGAGCAATGCTCTTATACTCCTCCCTAGCTATTTGTCCAAGTTTCACTTCTTATAAGCCTCCTTTTTCTGACTTAGCCTGCTGAAGAGTTCCCTGCTAAGCCAAGTTGGTCTTCTGCCATACTTGCTAGTCTTCCTGCACAGTGGGATGGTTTGTTCCTCTCAGTAAGGCTTCTTACTGCCAGCTCTCCTGGACTCCTCTCCCCCTCAGACTGGTTTATCAGGGAATCCTGCCCATGAGCTCCCTGAGGGAGTCAAAGTCTGCTTTTCTGAAGTCCAGCATCTTTACTCTGCTGCTCTCCATTCTTCCTTTCCTCAGGATCCTTAACTCAATCATCTCATGGTCATCACTGTCCAAGTTGCCGTCCACTACTACATTCCCCACCAATTCATCCCTGTTTGTGAGCAGTAGGTCAAGAAGAGCATGGCCTCTAGTTGGCCGCTCCAGCACTTGCACAAAGAAATTGTCCCCAACACTGTCCAAAAAGCTTCCTGGATTACCTGCACACTGCTGTATTGCCCTCCCAGCAGATGTCAGGGTGATTGAAGTCCCCCATGAGAACCAGGGCCTGTGATCGGGAAACTTCTGCTAGCTGTTTGAAGAAAACCTCATCCACCACTTCCTCCTGGTCTGGTGGTCTATAGAAGACACCCTCCTCAACATTACCATTGTTGCTCTCCCCTCTAACCTTAACCCAGAGACTTTCAACAGGTCTCTCTCCAGTTTCATACTGGAGCTCTGAGCAATCATATGGCTCTTTTACATAAAGTGCAACTCCTCCTCCTCAACAACTTGTACCTTTCTGAACAGCTGAACAGTTTGTACCAATCCATGACTGTGCTCCAGTCACGTGAGCTCCCACCAAGTCTCTGTT